AGGAATGCGGTTTCAGGGTACAAAAACATCCAGCCTTGATCAACATAGTACATCTCGGAAATAGGAAGAAGTAAATAAATATCGGCATGCGCAACTATAAAAATATATGTGAACTTTAATTACCTTTTTCGGTATAAGGTATATTGTCGCAGCGACCGTCCTCCCCGCGAAATGTCCAGCTATGGAAGGGACACTCCAAACAGTCCCCTTTAACACGGCCACCCTCGCCCATATTTGCCCCTAAATGTGGGCAATACGCATCCAAAATGTTTACGACGCCTCTTTCGGTTCTTTAAGAAATTGAAAACCTTATGTAATAAATAGTATAGATTATTTTAACTTCTTAAATATAGAGATCGCGTAATCCTTCTCAAAAACTTTGAACACGGAGAAATATCAGTATGAAAAAGATAATTCAAACAATACGAATGTTCTGATTCAACTTTAAAAAATCATTGAATTAACGGTAATGTGTTTTAATTAAATTATAATTACCTAATATAATTACCTAATAAATAAATTAAATATGTAAAAAATTTGTAAAATCCTCTTTATATACAAAATGATATATAAAATGGACATCACAACTTGTGTACACACTTAATGCATTCTAATTTTAAATTCATAAATAATAGAAAGAATGTAATGCATGTCAAAATTATCGACATTAATGTACGTATTGGTTAGTTCAGTATTTATAGTACTAAAAATATAAAAAAATAAAGAACGATTAAAGAACAGCGGCGGTTAAACAATCGTTGAATTTCGATGTCTGTCAAAAGAAATTTTGCACCCTCTGACGTACCTGAAGACCGCAAAATTTTCTCCGAGGGCAGATACGTGTTTCACCTGGCCCTTTTTTATTTGCGAACTCTCGAGCAAAGCGAACCATCCATTCGGATATACCGGTGGTAGTTTACCCACTTTCCGATTTCTGGATCTCATATAAACACCACAGTCGGTCCGTGTTCTACCTTCATTCCTCAAGTCCTTTAATAAATATCAAGCTAATTTTAGAGAATGCCGCATAAATTAAAAAAAAAAATGTTTAACTTATTTAATAAAAAAAATTTAATTATCTTTAAAACACGCTCTCTCTTTCTCTCTTTCTCCTTTTATTTTATATTCTGATTGTTAAAAAAGAAATTTCTCTAAAAATTGTATATAATTGTAAGATAAGCATTTCAAATGCTAATTGCAAATATTAATTTTTTAATTAACTTTTTAATCAATTTAGCTAATACTGTTGCTGTATTTAAGAATTGTTCTTTTAATATTGAAGAAAAAATGCTTGCATGTGCAGTCATTCGAAAAGATTACTACTCACTCTGACCCAGTTGAATTTGAAGAAATACGCAAAGTAGATGAAGAAGACCAGCATGGTGGTCGCAATCCCGATGTACCATTCCAGCATCGTCTCTTCTCCCGGTGTCACGCTCGCACGGTGTCCCTCTTTCGACTCCTTTATCCCGACAGGTACACCTTGCAATTCTTGGCTCCGCTCGCGTGTGCACGGAAGATAAACGGGAGCGTGCAAAGTAAAAACGATGACGAGAAATGATGAGGAGATGGGGGTTAGAAAGAAAAAGAGAAAGAGTTAGACGGGTTGAAAGGGTGTGGGGGGAGGAGGAAGAAGCTACCGGCAAAGAGGACGCGCGTGTTCGTCGGGAGCTGGACAAAAAAAGGGCTAGGAGGACTCCTGTCCGAGGAAGGACAGGACGAGAGGATAAAAAGATGAAAGGGAGAAAAAGAAAGATAACTTGCGGTATAGTTAGTTAGTTAATATGTAAGCGCACACATGCGTGTGCATCAGTATAAGCGATGCAACGCAATGCGTGTAAGAGACCCACAGCCAGAGGGAGAGTCAGCGAGGTAGAAGACTTGGAGAACGCGATGGATCCAGAGGGTACGTGAGAAGGAAGACGCGTCGGAGAAAGGGAAAGGGAAAGAAAGAGAATACATAGAGTGCGCATATATATATATATACACAAAAATGGAAAGAAGCTCGGGAGGGGAAAAAAAGCGCGTTGATATGGAAAAGGAGAAACCATCGATGGAATCACTTTTATAAAAGTTTTCGGGCAATTGAAACACTTGGAAAGTTCATTCGCGGTTTTATATACGCCGGTCGTTCCGTCGTGTTCTCCCGAAATGCGTGTTTCTTTTTCGAAGCGCCGCGATTGACTCGGGGCTGGAGCTCGGCGGCGTCGTGTGTCACGTAAACGGTTATCCGATTATGTATGCCCGGCCACGGGCGGAGGACGCGACGAGTCAACGAGCGGCTTATATATCGATGCCACCTATATCATCGGATCTAAAACCGCGGCGAGTTCCCTTCGTCTTCTTCTTATCCTCCTCTTTCACCTCAACCGCTTCTTCATCGTCCTCTTCAGCCGACCGGCGTGTCTCTTTTTATCGAGACTGTATATCGATCAATGCTTCAAGCTCGCCGATGTATACGTCCGTCCATACGCTTAGCATATCGGTTCTAGCGGACAGAATCACGGGGATTCGCATTTATATTCCAACGTTTCTGGTTTTGCGTCGCTAACACGGACGAATGTTTCCTCTTCTTCTTATTTTTCTCTTGCGAAAGATATATATTTTCCTTTCCCCGGTGTATCTTTTCTCATGAACGCGCTACTAGTGTCATCAGTGACGATGACTGACAGCACGCACACATCTATCCTTTCCTCCTTCTGGTTCCCCCTTCGTCTTCTTTGGCCGAAATCCTTAGCTTGCGAAATAGTAAACGTTGGTATCGTTTTTCGAACATTATCCGACATGTATCGTATGAACAAAATGATTATATAAAGAATATCGGCATTATCGAAGCGAAATATGAATAAAGATATAAAGAAAAGCATAGCCGATGTATCCAGCGGAAAAGTAGAAAGAAGCAAAAAAATTTTCCGCTTTGAAAAAAACGACAAGTAAGAAATATATATATGGCAGAATTATTGATGTCTTATCCAGACAAAAATGACATTTATAAACGAATATAATCATGTAAAGTAAAAATAGCAAGAGTAAATGATTATTCATACGAAATATATAAGATGTATTTTCCTAAAGAACAAGAAAGAATAGAATAGAAAGAATCAATTCTGACACTTAAGAATCCGTTCAAAAATTTATATTTTAATGTTTCAATGAAAAATAAGCATCATAAATCTTCTTTCATTGTCAAGTAACGCATATATAAGGTCTATATTTCTCAATAAACAATTAGTTTCCATTATCTTTTGAAATCGATAAAATTTCGAAAGATATAAATAAAAAAACAGGAAAAGCGAATGACCTCTGCCCGCAGGTAATCCAGAATCAAAAGATAGAGTATCCCTTAGCGAGAAAGTTAAGTAAAAATAGCAAGAGTAAATGATTATTCATACGAAATATATATAAGATGTATTTTCCTAAAGAACAAGAAAGAATAGAACAGAAAGAATCAATTCTGACACTTAAGAATCCGTTCAAAAATTTATATTTTAATGTTTCAATGAAAAATAAGCATCATAAATCTTCTTTCATTGTCAAGTAACGCATATATAAGGTCTATATTTCTCAATAAACAATTAGTTTCCATTATCTTTTGAAATCGATAAAGTTTCGAAAGATATAAATCAAAAAACAGGAAAAGCGAATGACCTCTGCCCGCAGGTAATCCAGAATCAAAAGGTAGAGTATCCCTTAGCGAGAAGGTTTAGGATACTCGGTCGATGCGACCCGCTTTTGCAATTTAAAAATCTGTCGGGCCGCTGTCCGTCACCGACTATGTTAAGCATACCGGATAAGTATACGGTCTCGTAATCTCGAGGTGGTAACGCGCTGCATCCCTGATGTGGATATACGTGGAGCGAACGGATTAATTATTCAAACGTATACCAAGACAAGAAACTCCCCGGCGCGAGATCGACGGTGACGATAAAATCGCCTCGTAAATTCACGAAATGACGCGTTTTCCCTTTTATCAAGATGCTCGTCTCTTTCTTTCTTTTTTTTTTCTTTCTCTCTCCCGTGGCCGAAAAATTCTAACACTCGTGCTTCGCGCCGCCGCAGCGTAATATTATTCGGTGAGACGACGGTAATGAGATCGGTTTCGTTCGTTCGTTCGCTCGCTCGCAGAACCCGTATCAGGCGGAATCGAAAGCTGCAAGACAGCTAACGCGTGTCATATGCTGCGTGGCAATAATCAAAATATTTGAACAATGCGTAAAGCTCGAAAGTGCTTAATTGTCATTTCTCGCGCCGAAGAACATGGGGCGAGATCATCTTTCAATATATTACTTGGAACATGCTTACCGCCTTGTCGCTTTCATTCGAATAACTTTCCTTTAATAATCTTTGCGAGATGTCTTTAAGGGCATATATATAAAACAGCCACACAATTCAAGCTCCAAGGATGATACTCCGATGTAAGAACGCCTCCGTCAAATTGATTACCTTTAACATTTAAACAAAAAATTAATTATTTATTCATATATCGTGCTATAATATAAAAATTATGATGCTTATTTATCTTATATATACACAGAATGCTGTTAGCAGTTAAATAATAATGCACTGTTTTTTACTAAAGATGTACAAAAAACTAGAAATATTTCTTAATTACGAATTCGTAAATTAATAGCAATAAACAATTATATAATTACGTATAATACCTTATACGTGTCATTATGTGATGTAAAACGTTCAAGTTAACGCAAAATTTTCCAAGATAATCACATAAAATTCATAAGTTATATCTCGTTGTTCGATAAATTTTTTTTTTTTTTAATATTTGAAATAAGTGTATAGTTATATACCTTCCGAACATCCTGTATAATTGACGATAAATATTGTAATTTATAATAAAAATACAAACGTTATGAGATATTTGTAAACAATTCTCTGCAAATTTCATTACGAAGACATTTTCTTGTCGTTATATCATCCATATGTCTGTTGTATTGGATGAGTTACCGTTTTGAATTCCAACCGTTATATTTCTCGAGAGAATATTTAGTGTATAGGCAATGTTTTAATCTACCGTTACCGATTCCAATTTTATGTAACGCTAGCGATTAGAAATAATTGATTAATCAATGCACTTTCTCTATTTCTTTTTCGTTCGCGAATTCATTCGAAAAGAATTTTAAGATCGGATGCCAGATTAAAATCCGTGAGCCAAATGAAACACATTAGCAATAGTTTTCAGTTACGTACACATACATATGCTAAAGAACGTTTTTATACTCTCTCTTTCAAAGATAAAATATTCCAACTTACAGAGTACTTACGAAGAAGTGGAGCAAAAAGGTCTATCACCGATCAAATGTTCAACAAGGAGATGCTATATTATGCGCTATATCTTTTATTAGACGCGACAATTTTTCTCTCCACTGCAAAAATATGTTTACCGCCTTTTTGCCGTAATGAAATACGATCTCGAGCAAATGTTCACACAGGATGACCAATAGCAAAATTTCTGATTACATAAATAGTTAGAAATTTTATTGTTGCTCATCCTGCAAATTAATCTACTATAAAAAGCTGCTTTTCAGGAAGAAACACACGATGTCACGCGATTGGCTATAGAATAGAGGAACTTTCGGGACTGTAGGAATTCTCTATTCGACAGCCAATTGCGTATCATTGAATGAAAACTGTATTTTAGCGCGAAAGCGGGTCCAAGAATTTCGTGCTCGTCTTTCCATCTATGTATAACAAACAAACTATGAGCTATCGTTGAAGCAAAGTTGATATAGCGCATCCGCGAGCAAAACTTTTAATTTTGATAAAGACGGGACTTTACAAGGAAACGCGTAGTTTGCCTGATAGACGGTACAGAGTTGAGCGTTTTTTTACTCTCGACGTTCAAACGAGATCTCAAGATGGGTGTGCCGAAATTCTTTAGATACATAAGCGAGAGATATCCCTGCCTCAGCGAGGTCATAAAGGAACATCAGGTATTTGGAAAAAAAAAGAAAAGTACAATGTTATCTTCGAGCAACGAACATCTTTCTTCTTGTCTTTTTGTTCGTCCGCATCGTTTCTTCATGATGCGGAGCAAAGAGCTTACCTTCTCTTAAATAGTTCACTACACATTCAGTAAGAAAAGCGAGACTTTTAATAATTTATATAGTTCTGTGCAAAATAACTTTTGTCAATAATTGTCTGTTTTTTCCAGATACCAGAGTTCGATTATTTATATTTAGATATGAATGGTATCATACATACATGTTCACATCCGAATGATGATGTTTGTTTCCGTATTTCTGAGGAGGATATTTTTAAAAACATATTTCACTATATAGAAGTGTTATTCAACATGATACGCCCACAAAAGTTGTTCTTCATGGCGATAGATGGTGTAGCGCCTAGAGCTAAAATCAATCAGCAGAGGGGTCGACGATTTAGAGCTGCCAAGGATGCAGAAGTACAAGAGGCTAAAGCTAAAGCAAAGGGTATTGAAATACCCAAGGAAAAGAGATTTGACTCAAATTGCATAACCCCAGGAACACTTTTTATGGCTAAACTTGGCGAACAGCTCAAACGTTTTGTTGAACATAAAATTTCTATGGATGATACTTGGATGAAATGTAAAATATTGTTCAGTGGATCTGAGGTATCTTTCCTTGACATTGTAATATATCAGAGAAAACTAATATAATTTGTTTTCTCTCTGTAGCGAATATAATGTATATATGTGTATAGGTGAAAACAATTATTTGATAGAATAGAGTAAATTACTAAAGTATTACTGTTTCAGGTTCCTGGAGAAGGAGAGCATAAAATTATGGATTATATAAGATATATGAAAACAAGCAAAGATTACAACTGTAATTCCAGACATTGTTTATATGGTCTAGATGCTGATTTAATAATGTTAGGTCTCTGTTCTCATGAGCCAAATTTCTCTCTTTTAAGAGAGGAGGTCAAATTTGGTAAACAACAAGTAAGGATGACTCCTGAGGAGACAAAGTTCTGCCTTCTTCATTTGTCACTTTTACGAGAATATATAGAGCATGAGTTTTCACCAATCAAAGACAAATTATCTTTTCCATTTGACATTGAGAAAATTATCGATGACTGGGTTTTAATGGGTTTTCTCGTGGGAAACGATTTTATTCCCCATTTGCCAAATTTACATATTACAAACGGTGCACTGCCAATTCTGTACCGTGCATATATGGAAGTATTACCAACACTCGAAGGTTCAATTAATTTGTCAATACTTTAATATAGTAAAATATATATATTTTATATTATTGTGTGTGAATAAAAGTAATATTATTTTACTCTAGGTTATATAAATGAAGCAGGAACATTAAAACTGGATCGTTTTGAAAAGTTTATGGAAAAACTTAGTCGTTTAGACTTAGAACAATTTAATGAACAGTATGCCGATTTAAAATATTTTGAAAGTAAAACAGGCAGACGGCCCAATGAAACTGAACGTCATGTATACAAGAAATCGGAAGATGACGAAACTGCATTTCCGCAAAAAATACAAAATAAAGATTTAGATGCTCTAATTAAAAGTACTACAGAGATGGTACTTATTTAAGTGTTTTTTGAATGATTGCTAATTTTAGAGATAGATAAATAATAACTTTGTAATACAGTCCTTAGGTCATTCTGATGATGATGATGAAGATGATAGTGACTATATAGTTGATATGGATATGATAAATGACGAATCTGATAGTGATATATATAATATGGAATTTGTACAACATAAAAGAGATTATTATATGAACAAATTGGAATACAAAAATGTTGATGCGTAAGTTTTAGTATTATATATAATTTTACACGAGATATCTGTAAAATTGTAATTTCATCATTTTTTCATGGATTATTTTAGAGAAGTTTTACGTTCGCAAGCTGAAGGCTATGTCAGAGCAATACAATGGAATTTACGTTATTATTATCATGGCTGTTGTAGTTGGTCATGGTATTATCCACATCATTATGCCCCATATATTTCAGACATAAAAGATTTTAAGGATTTGAAATTAGAATTTGAATTGGGAGAGCCATTCTTACCTTTCCAACAATTATTAGCTGTGTTACCTGCACATAGTAAAGATCTATTACCAAAAACATTCCAATCACTATTGATAGAAGAGTCTTCTCCTATTATAAATTATTACCCACATGATTTTAAAACTGATCTAAATGGAAAAAAACAGGAATGGGAAGCAGTTGTGCTTATTCCATTCATTGACGAAAAGCTATTGTTGGCTGGTGAGCAATATTTTTCTCTTTATCCGATAGAGAGTTGAAGATATGTGACATTTATCTGAAACACTGATATTCAAATTATATACATTTTATTATAAAAAATTTCTATATATTTAAAATATGAATATAAATTAAGCACATAAATCTCTTTATTCTGTATTCATTTGTTTGATAGCTATGGAGCCACACTTATCGAAATTAACAGCGGAGGAACAAGCAAGAAACAAATATGGATCGATGTGTCTATATACATATAATGATGCAATCCGAAGTGTTCAGAAGGCAACAACATACTTTCCGGAATTTATCAATTGTGCTCAGTTAACTTTAATAAACCGCGACGAAATTTTTGTGCCGCGAGAACAATTAGTTCGAGGATTGTCCCCGGGTTTCAATCTCGATGTTTATTATCCGGGATTTCCTATATTGCGGCATTTACAACATACAGCGCATTTAGAAAAAGCAAAGGTACATATGTCGTTGTTGAATTTCAATATTGCTTCGATTCTTAACAGTTTGTTACACAAGTGTCTTTTCAGGTCAAAGTATTCCAACAGGCATCAATGGGAGAAAATATGATCCTAAGTATAATATCAAACGAAGCACCTAATTTAACGACCTTAGCGTCAGAACTATTAGGGAAGAGTGTGTATGTCGGATGGCCTCACTTGAAGGAGGCTCTCGTGATTGGCGTGGCTGATAACGATGTAAAATTCAGTTTGATTAATCCACTAGAGGGTTACAGTGATAATAATTTGAAAAAGGAAGTCGTAAAGGATTTGTTAGCTGTGGAATGGCGTACACAAAAGAAACAAATCAGAGACACGTAAGATAAAATTTTTTAACATAACATTAATAATAGAATGGTATTAAGAGTATAACCATATAATATTTGTTTTTAGACATATGTCGCGTCTTGGAATAGACATAGGCGATACGAACGTATTATTTTACGCCCGTACATACTTGGGAAACAAATACATTTTCGGTGTGCAGGGAAAAGTGACGATCGAGAAACAATGGAGCGATTTTCCCACGGCTTACGCTTATCAGACTGTGGTTAAAAACATTTCTGTCTACAGCAAAAAACTACCGGTTTATAAAACTATGCATGATATTTTTGTACCAGGCACTTTCTGTTTCATGTTGGGACATCCTTATTATGGTGCAATGGGAGAGGTACAATTGCATATATATATATATATCAAAATAATTATTGGAAGAATTCATAGTTAAATTTATCGAAATGATAACTAATCTGATAAATTAATTAAGTTTGTATAAATCATTGAAAAAACAATTTTTAAATTCAAGAGCATTTTATGAACTTACAGGTTATGCAATATAAGGACCATCCAAAGCCACGCAGAATCAAAATTTCTATAAAGATTACAAAGGAGCCAACATTTGAGGTCATTAAACAAGCCTATGCGCAACAGAGGACTCGATATATGCATGGCAGTATTGCTGCACAACGTCTTGGAATAAGTAGTCATCTTTTAAGTAGAATTACTGGAACAATTTATGTTATACAAGCATCGAAAGAGGAAATTGCTAAATATAATGTTGGATTGAATTTAAAGTTCAATAAAAGGAATGAAGAGGTGAGAAAAATTGTTATTCAAACAAATTTGACATTTGCATTATTAAATATAATTTTATATAGATGTAACTAATGTATCATTATGCATACAATTTTGTGGATCAATTTTCTTTTATCTCTGTCTAATACATCAAAATTTTTAAAGATGCCTGGTTACACTAGAAAAGAAAATAGTCAATGGTTGTACAGTGCAAAAGCAATTGAATTGATTCGCAATTATATGACGAAATGTCCCAACTTGTTCGAACGTTTGGCTCAAAATGTAACAAACGACATTTTCCAAGAAGAGGAGCTATTTGACAAGGGGTACATTGTGTATTTTATTACCTGTACTTTATATTATCAAAATCTGTACATAATACATGACATTGTAGATCAAACGAGCTGAAAGATACAGTTGTATGGCTGAAAACACAATTGGACGGTATAGAAAGTCGTGCCTGTGGCATGGATATCGTCGAAATGGAATTAGTGAAACAGATCGAGCAAGAAACAGAGGAATACCTAAAGACTCAGAATACCAAAGTAGTCTTTATACAAGTAAAACCACAATTGCTCTTCAAGCCAGGATTACATTTGCGTAGTGTGCCGCCTGATCCGAGTTCCCAGAATCGTTTATTCGACAGAATATGCTGCGTTCGAAGCGGTTTCAGCGTACCGCTCGGAGCTAAGGGTGTTATAATAGGAATACGAAAGGCGAACAATCCAACGGACATTATGTACGACGTTTTGTTTGACCAGCCTTTCATCGGTGAGAGAAGCACATAATTTTCTGAAATACGAAAAAAAACTTACGGTATATTCTATTTAACGATTTATATACTACAGGCGGACTTACATTAAGCGGTTGCTCTGCATCTCGCGGCTATCGTTTGGCAGCTATGGACTTCATAAATATCAGCTTTGGCGAAAGAAACGAGCAGGGGAATCCAGCAAACGAATCGGCAGATTGCCGCAAACAAATCGCGAATCCAGCTTCTCCTAATAAAAAGAACGATCAATCGTCGAAGTCGTATCCGCAAATGCAACTCGCAAAAAAAGGACTCGAAAAATTAAGTCGAGACATTAGTTTGGGCATAATGGTACAACAAAACATGATAGAATCAGACTCAAAGACGGTGCCTTACGCGGCATTGCCTCAAAATTCCCGCCAGAACGCACCACCTAATCAAACGTCTGAATTTCAAGCGCTATGGGACGATTTGCATAAGATACAGGTACAATATAGTGATATAAATTTACGAAATTGTTTCATGAATCTTGTAAATATTTGCTATATGATATAGAAACCGAACGGACCGCCCGAGAAAATACCATCGAATCCAATGATGACAAAGATTAAGCCATTCAGCAACAATCATAATATGCAATCGGTAAATATTGTTGGATATGTGTTAGTATGTTCTAAAATTATATGTTTGATCAATCACTGTATTTCCCCAAAAAACAGCCACAAGATCCTAGCGCATTCTTGAAAGCTATGTTAAAGATTCCCGATGTAAATGCGCAAACAAATAAGCAACAGAGCAAACACTCTACATCCGCGATGACGCTTCAGAAAGCGGCAGTTTCGCAAAAAGATCAAACATTAAATCCCCCACCTTTGGTTCAACAAATGTTTGATGTATGTCTATCTATGTCCTATTGTGCTATATATATGTATATGATTTGTTGTTCGCTGTTTGTAATACAGAAAAAAGGAACAATTATATGTATATTCGTTTAATAATTTTTACATGAAATGTGTGTTGTTGTTGCTATTTTTTTAGCACGCCCGACGAACGGAAGAAAGAAAAGAGAGAGCACATTCAGTTTGGTATAGCACACAATTATTACAACATTTCTCGTATAGCGGAGCTGGCATACCAAAGTATAATTATATCATCGATGAAAAAACGGGTTTGATTAGCGCCCACATTATGATAGATCATGCAAGAGTTTTTAAGGGCGATCCTTGCATCACTCACGAACTAGCCACAGAAAGTGCTGCAAAACGAGCATATAAGGTACGATAAACGTATAAAAAATTAATATCGATCTTGTATTTTGTATTAATATAACTATTATTATTATTAGGCATTAAATCTAAGTATAGTAGCGACACATGATGCGAAAATCGTAATGACACCTCGACCACAATGGTATAATAATCAACAAAGTAATTGGGTTCAAAATATCCGACCTCCTATAATGCCCATGGGACCTCCGAAAATGCCACCGTTTCCGCAAAATCTACTTATGCAGCCTAATATATTCTACCCGAAATGGAACCAGAAATTGCCGTCAAATCCAGCGTTCGGACAAACCGCGTTGTATAACCAAGCCAGACAACAGCAAACTAAACAAGGACAACAAAAGGGTCCTCAGAATGGACCGAAGATGGAGATTAAGAATAGTACCACGTTCGTGCCATTACAAGCACAGAAAAAGAGCAGAAACGCCAGTGTAAAACAAGCTGCAAGAGAAACCAATCCAAATTCCAAGAAGAATTCGAGCCCTAAAGTGCAGCAGCAACAGCAGAAGAAAGAAGAAACGTCACCCAAGGTTTGTAAATAAAAGTTATATCGCCTCTTAATGCAATCCCCAACTCGAATTATTAAATCGTCAATTTCTTACGCAGAAAGAAAAACAAGAGGTTGTAAATAAAGTCAGGGAAAAGACATTAAACGAACGGCAACAACAATCACAGCAACAACAGCCGCAATATAACGCGGGAAAATCGTCCAAACCTAGGAAATCGCGCGTCGCCGCGAAATTCGGTGCACCACCGTTATCAAACGGCGGTGAACCTCCCCAGTGAAAAATCTATTCTGTCTTTTAAGATGGGATAACTTTGCAAATTATATATGTACATACAAGATAATACCGAAATCCCACCACGCGTTCGTTTTCTACATTTTATAATAAAAACGAGCAATTTTCTTTGAAGATTTCCAATGGGCCAGTTTATCTCTTGTTGCAAAGACTTTACACATTGGTGCATTGAACATTTTTCGTACTTAGATATAATCACACCAAGTAATAATTTGTAGATTCTTTTTCTCGAATCAAATGTATATACTTTGAACTTATATACGTAACATATGTAAAGAATGTAAGTGAGAAAGTTAGTTGATTGTTTAATTTGCCTTTTTTACATTTTGCTATGCATTAGCTATGTGTATCATTTATACTCATGAATTTTTATGTTTTGATATTAGCACGATATATTATCAGAATACTTTATGATTATATGTGTGTTGATGAGTTATTTTACTTTTTTATGAGAATGTTCGAAAATTATTTATTCAGATATTTTTACGTAATTAACTATAAAAAAGTTACAAAATTTAAATGGTATGCACAAAAGCTTGAAGCAAAAGTATATCGTAAAGATTTTGATAATAATATGTTTCCTCTTTTTTTAAGGTTTTATTTTATTAAAATACATATGTATCATGCGCACACACATGACAATCAGTTTATACTATATTTAACTTTATTGAAAAAATTCAAATTCAAATTCGTTAAATAACATTGGTTTGTGCATAAATGGATTTAATTTATTATTTAATAACGAGTTATGCGCGATTTAGAAAAAGCAGCGAGACATCTATTTTTATTGCAGCATATGATTTGTATCTCGATAGGCAACATTATGCAAGTAACATATGTATGTTACATACATAAGATAAGAAAGTGATATTAAACAATATACAAATAACAACATGTGTCCACGACAATTTTTTCTGTGTTTCTTTTTTCTATATTACAGCAAGGAACAAATCAAAATTAAATAATTAATAGAATAAACTCTAACAAGATGTTTCAATTTTACTGTAAAATAAAGCAAATCATAACTGATTACTGAATATATTTTTTTTACAATGATCTCAAACATTGTTTTGAATTATTTTTATGTGTTCCTTTCATTTCTCATAGCGATTTTTTAATAGATCAGTAAAAAAATTTCTCTTCCTCTCTCCCTTATTTTCCCCACTTTTTATCTATCTTGTATATATATGTAATAGTTTATCAATTACCTTCTTCAGTGTGGGAAATCCTATAGATATGTACACACAAATTAAAACCCTTCCTATCACAAATTATATAAATATTGATATTTTTATCATGATAATGAAAAAGATATTCGATATGGCATAAATGTTCATTGAATTACCTTTGGACAATTCTCTTAAACTCGGCTGTAACAATTTCGAAAGAGATTTAACTTGAAATCAAAATGATATAATCGGAAAGATATGACAATTCCTCAATTTACTTTTTTATTATTTAAAAAATTTCCCTCCATTCTTTCTCTCCGTGAGTCAGCAAAAATATTTTTTCCAGATCTATCATCATAGAGAAAAGAATTATATCGAACATTTATACAAATTACATTATTTATATCATAGAGAATCGTCAATAAACAGACGATATGCTTTGCTGAAAGAAAAAAATACATTTATGACTGCATATCTTTTCTCATAAGTAGGATATGGGAGCAATAGGCAGTTTTTCTTTTTTTTTTCAAAATTGAGGCGGCGGGCAGCGGATCTAAATAGTAGACTCTCTGTTCAGACTTGTAATTATATTCTCCACTCTCACCACACTTTTACTAATTATATTGAGATATTTTGTTTCGTTCGGTCTCGACTCCTTTTTTTTATTTTTTTCCCCCGAAAGTTATGGTTCGATGACGCGATTATATAATACAAAGCAAGGACACTTGACTATATGTATATATATTAAATATATATTTTTTTATCGTGATTTATCTTGCATCATGTGTGACACTACTGAGACATTTCTCTATATTTGATACGCTATTTAATACTTGTATAATCCATGAATATTTTACAATTCAAACAAATGCAAAATCTGTATGAAAGAATAT